ATAAATAAAAAATATCAAAAATAATTAGAAAATTATAACCAAATTAGGGTAAGCTCCTTAAATCACCCTCTGATCACTTGAAATTTCTTGGGTTTTAATTCCCATATTTGATAGGTCATTTAAATTTTGACTTTTAATAGCATTTTAAAATACATCAAAAACTTAAAAAATAGTAAATAAATATTAAAATACCTTTTAAAAATACATAAATTTTTTTATAGATGTTAGATAATATAACAAAATAAAGACAAAAAAATGAAAGTCCAACTTTGTGTTTAAACATTTTTCATAAACCAATAATTGTAAATAAATAAATAGCATTTAATTTTTAATAAAAAATTCATATAAACCAAAATAAAAATCATAAAAATATCAAACCAATTGCATTAATTTTATAAAATCATCCTCTTTCTGTAAATAAATAAACAAAAATATTAGTTTCTGTTTAAATCCCTTTGTGTAAATAAATTGTGATTAACCCTAATTTCTAAATAACCAACATTAGTAAATAAACTTTTAATGCTTAACCAATTACAAAATTCCTAAAAATAGTTTGGTTCTGACCTAAGGTCAGTAAAGGACTAAAAAATACTTTTGCTTTGCATTTTTGTTTAGGTTTGATAATTTTCCCCTTTTTAAGTTTAAAACACACATTTTTCATTCAAAAATAAGGCATTTAAGATAGTAGACTAAACTATAAAAATCCCAAAAAATTCAAGTAGATTAATTTTAGGATTTAAATAGGACTTAGTTCTCAACTTTTTTTATTTTTGAGCATTGCATATGTCACTTGTCTTGTCAATTGCATCGTATCGCGTTTTGATCGCATTTTCTCGATTCGTAACATAGTGTACTTCCTTGTGAATGTGTGTGAATGAAAATTCTTGTGAAAAATATCATGTGTTTGCCTCTTATTGGTAGTGTTTCACTTCTGATCCATGTTGATTCTTAAAGTAAATTCATCATTTTAAAATTGTAAACCTTCCATTGCACTTTAAAATTGTAGTACGTGTGAATCTCACTTTGGTTAGTTAACAAACCTCTTTCCATTGCATGATCTTGTGGATGTTTAAGCATCTGATCTATAGGTTCACATTACTTCAATTTTGCTTGCTTTTTGTATCTCTTAGCTTGTTTCATTTGTGTGCAAGTTTCATTCACATTCGTTTAAAAGGAAGTGTACTTTGTTGTGAATCGGGTACAAGGCAATTGTATATTTCCATTCCTTCTTGTCATTGTAAATAAATGTTGATAACACTAACCATGTGCTTGATTGCTGTTTGTATATTGGTTGCATTGTGTTTTCTTGTAGGTTTTGTATTCGATTGTGATTCGCTTTCGCGATCGAGCGATACCTTGCTTTGTTTAAATAAACTTGTGAATTGTTCTGACTCTTTTTGTTTGTTGGTTTCAGTTGCTTGAGATTACTATATCTCACTTGCTTTCTTAGCATTTGCTATTGGAGTTGCTTGCTTGGTAGTGATCTTGTCCCTTTTATATTATTCTGCATTTTTCTTTTTGATGCAATGAGAAGTAGGACTGGAGACCGTACCACTTGGACGGCAATTTTCTGGAAGTCCTCCCTAGGAGGCAATGTTTGTGTTTGTTTACTTTTCAGGTTGTAAATAAAAGACCTCTCAAAGAGGCATGTGGAGTAGGGTTAGTAATCAACCCCCACGCTTTCTAGTCCGTGTCGTTCTTATGCTCACTTTTTGCAAGTTCCGAGCTCTGAACATGTACCAAAAGATCTTGATTGATACAAATAAAAAGCCCTCCATTGAGGCAAGAGGTAAGGGATCATGTAATCGGTCCCCTCGCTTTCTTTAGCTCATGTTTTCCGACATTGATGCTTGGTGTACGCACACACCTTTTCTTTCTTCATCTACCTTACCCGATGATATGATATCGTGGTAATGGCTTATTTTGAGTAGCAACTTGTCGTTTGTACAGTTGTTTGGTCTAATGCTTGGTTGACTTGGATGATTCGCTCTCCTTGGCTATGACGGAACCCCTTTTCTCATTACTCGGCTTGTGCCTTGTAATTTTTTGATTTTTGATCGAGTGGAACTCGATTGTTTTTGTAAATAGATTGTGCTTGCTAGTTGTTTATACATTGTTGTTGCTTTGTGTCGCGGTGCGCTTTTTGTTAGAATGAGCAATGGCTATGTATGTGAGCCAAGATTCTATTTTCGAAAAGTCGAAGAGTCGCCACCATCTTATTTACTAATTAAAGCGGGAAAGATAGAAAACCCATCTCGGTTGAGATTCGGGGTAAGCTAGTCGGTTACATGAGGGGAAGGTGTTATGCACCCCTCATATCCTTGGTACTCCAAGGGAACCACTCTTTGTTATTGCCTTATTATTTGTTTGTGTTAGGTGAGAAAAGAAAAAGACGTGGGAGGTTGATTTTATTTTGATTTGAGAAGATTCATGTAGACATCATTTGCCTACGTACCACCCCAAGTGCAATGGGGGATCAAAATCTGCGTAGTTCGCCTAAGGGGTTTATTGAAGTGTGTTAAGATTGATTTTAGGGTCAACTACTATTTCTTTCTCTAGTTTGATATCCCAAGTGGGAGAGGTCATGAATAAGAGATGAGAAAAGAATTAGTGAGTTTTGTTTATTTTAAGTATGTGTGTTTAAAGTCAAAGTATGAGTTAGATTGCTTTTAAAGTATTATTTACATGCAAAGTAAGGGTGGGATATACTAGATGACGTATGTATAGGCTGCCACTATATGTTTTAAAACGAGAAAATAACTTTAGTTTCGATATGTCCATGTTTTAGCATTTTCTCATTTCCATTAAGGCATTAAAGTAAAGCTATAAAGAAAGTAAACCTATGGAGGCAAAACAACCTCAACTATGCACAAATGAAATCAAATGATAATAAGGAAAGCAATTTAAACAAAGGATATGGGAGTGAAGGCAAAGAGCCCTCACTTGGTCTTGTGAATCTTTTCTCCTTAGGCTTCCATTTCACCATGTGATCTCAAACTCAAGATACAATCAAAACCAATGTACAAATGTATTATGTATGACTATCATGAAAGAGTAGAAATGTTAGTAAACTTCAAGAAGTATAATGTAATATATGTACAAAATATAAACAAAGTATAAGAAGAAGTAAGAAGCAAAAGATATGATATTTACAATGAAAATGCAAAAGTAAACCTAATATGCACACATTCTGTCCAGAACTTTGTCAATTTTTAAAACCAAACTTCGAAGCCTCAAATGCAAAAACTTAAAAAAGATGAAATGTTCCAGAATGAGTATAGAGTATGCTTGAATTTTTTCAGATTTTTTGAATGAGATTTGCTTCTGTTTTGGGTCTAAAAACCAATAGCATGTCTAAAAGAATGTGCACAAATTAAGCCTAGAAAGATGTAATCAAATGGGACATGAGAAAGCTTCAAAGTCAGAATATGTTTCAAAGTAGAATGATCAATTATAAGTCAAGAAAACACACACAAAATTTCAAAGCAAAACCATGTACCAATTGGAAAATATGTACAAAACGGTGAATATACAAAAAGATGCGAAAAACACCAAAAACGATAAGTTGAAAAGTCGAACGGAACAAGTTCAAAGATTCGACGCAAAATTTAAAAATGAAGAAAAATCGAACGTCATAAGTTCAAAGGTTCGACTCCATGGTGAGGAGATCAAAAAACCTAGCACAAAGTTCGTTCGACACAAGTTCAAAATGACGCCACCCAAATGGGCAAAATAAAAATCCAAGGTGACCGAAACGGTACCTACGACAAACAGAAAATCCACAATGACAAAAACAGTATATTTACAATGATATCAACAATATAATCACAAGAGATATAGTATAATGAAAGGATAATAAAAGGAGGATAGGGTGCAAGAGGAAAATATAAAGTATAATAGTAATATATACATAGTATTATTTTCCGATTAAAAAGGCAACAAAACGAACAATAGTGGTTAAATGTGGTGTCGAGGTTCAAATATGACTAAATTCCATCAGAGGATTGATAGAATCAAAGCCTCTACACAATGAAATTCTCAATTATGAACCAAGAACAACAAGCAACCGACATTGGGCTTACGCAACATAAATGTTCGGGCCACGAATGTTCATTTTCCGAGTCGGGTCAAATGTCGCGCTATGTTAAGCAATCGCCAAGTAACTTATATAGAAGTCACCCTACAACGAGGCCGGTCTTGACTATGTGTGCTAATGCATGCTTGAGTAATGGTAGATACCATGCTCAAAAGAAGCAATTCCGCACAAAAAGAATAACGGTGAATAGTCTCGTTTCGATCGCGATTCAAAGCGGAATCATTCAATCCATAAACGTCATCGACCAAAATAAAAGAGAAATAAAGATGGAAATGGAAGTATAAGTATGAGGACTTCACATTTCAGAAGGGGTGGACTCAAAAGACTCAAAAATACCAAAATGAAGAAACGAGAAATAATCGATAAAAGTGAAAATCGGCCATATTTACACGATTTTAAAAAGTCGGTGAAAACAACTCTGAAAAATCCAGAAAAAATATAATCAAATACTACATAATATTATGAACTTAAAATAATTTTTTTGGAATTTTTTGATGAAATATGAGGCAGATATGAAATAAAGCCCAAATAGGCGAAAAAATCGACTAAAAATAAAGTCGATAAATCAAATTCAGCAAATATATACAATATATACATTTTTGGAAAGAGGAAAAAAAATGTGACAAAAGTCCCTACTGTGAAAATACCAAATTATGAACTAATTAAGAGAAAAAATAAAAAACCTTAGGAGGTGATTAAGAGATAGGGAGGTGAAGAATTGAAATGGGCTTTGGTCTGCACTGTTGGGCTCTGAGTCCAGTCAAAAGGGGAAGCGATAGTAAATGGGAGGTGCACTCAATGAACATCCACAAAGGGCCTTGTTAAGCCCAAGAAGAAATGGAAATACACAAAAATAAAAGTCCCTGATTTCTTAAACGTGCTTCATCTCCAATCTCACTTGAAAATGCTTCTTCTCCTAAAAAGGAACGGTACCCCTTTTTCTTCCAAGTTAACACGCCGCCGTCACCGCCGCGAGCAAATCGTGCCGCTGCGACTACCTCCGTCGTGGTTCCCTCATCATCACCAACCGCACCAGCGTCACTCTCTCCACGGACCTCTCAGTTCGACTTTCCTCTGCATTTTCGATTCGCTTTTTCCTTTTTAATTCAATAGATTTTCCTTCGCACAACAATGATCAAACAAAAATCTCTCTGCCATCGACTGTTTCACCGTTGAGCCACCTCCGCCTTGGATCTCTGTCACCGTCCGGTTTCAACAGTCCTCAAATTTTTTGTTGTTTTTTTTTTGAGTAAGATTTGTGCAGGGAAGGTTTGTTAATGCAAGCTGCTGGAGGAATACGGTTTGCTAATTGCCGTTTCGATAGTGTTCTGTTATACATGTATTGATGCAGGTTTACCGATACTGTTTAAATGGTGAATGACATGAGGTTTATGTGGAGAATAATAGGTGGATGATGAAGGTTTAGAATCACGGTTTAAGGTTGTCCGTGAGTTGATGTGGTGGAGTTAACGGAAATTATGTGAAGGTTGATCTGATGTGTGGTTCGTTTGGATGCAAATGATGAAGTTTCAGGTTTTGATGCAGAGAAATGGAAGGCAAAATTTGAAAGTTGTTTCATCAGTGGTTTTTGTAAAGAGAAACAAAGGTGTGAGTTGTATGGGTTGAAGCAAGTTTGGGTTATGGATGAATTGGAGGAGAGATTCTAACATAATTTTGACAGAGGTTTGGCACTCATTTTCTCCTCCCTTTTTCTGTTGTGAATTTGAGCTTTTATATTGAAGAATTGAAGGTGAGGATGCTGGGTAAAAAGCGTGTGAGGGGAGTCCTGTGGAATGAGTGGAATTGGTTGAGCAAAACGTGACATGATTTTAACAGTATACGTTTGTTCTCTTTTTTTTAATTTTTTTTTATTTTCATTTTTTTTAATTAACCAAAACAAATTAACAGCAATGGTCTTTTTATGAAACTCTTCTAAATAAAATTCTAACTAAAACTAATAATAACAATTTTTTGTTTTTTTTTTTAATTACTAATAATAATTAAAATTCTAATAATTTCTAAAAACAATTAAAAACTAAACCAAAAAATTTAATTATTAAAAAAAAAGAATAATAGAAATTTTAAAGAAAATTTGGAAATAATAAAAATAACAAACTTTTGGATTTTTTTAATTTGTTAAGATAAAAAGTAATAAAAACTAATTAAAAGTGCGTATTTTTGCAATTTTTTGGAATAAAAGGAAACGACCGAAAAATGAATCGAAATGAATTAAATCGGACGAAAAAACGAGCCGATAATGAAAAACGACCACATTGATACGACACACACGCCTCGAAGAACACAAAAAGTCTCCGAAAGTTATTAAACGCAAAAATAAAAAACCCGCTAAAAACAGGCACAGATCGAGTGAAAATGACCGAAACGAAGTCGAAAAAATCCAACGAGCAAACCAAAATAACCTACGCGCAATATCGATTCAAGAAATGTGAAATTTGGTTTGAAAACTCGAAAGAAAAATTCGCTGCATTTTTGTGAAATCGGCCAATAAAATAACCGGGTCTTTTATTTGACTGAAAAATTATTTTGAACTCACTGACACAAACTACGCGACCGGAAGTCTCGTAAAATGGCCATTTTCAGGCGTAAACTGAAAAGAAATATTTTTAACTTTTGCACGCAGTCGAATAAAAATTCGACTGGTCTGTTTTTGAAACTGAATTTTATTTTAAAGATCGTGAACTGGTTCAAACAGACGCGTGAACTATGAAAATGCATGAAATGCAATTAACTCGATCTTATTATTTTGAAATGCTATGCAAATTTAATCGGAAACCCGATTTTACTGATGCAGGATGCAGACGAATGCGAAATGCGACTGTATTTTTGTTGTTTTATGCACAATGATTATTTTGACTGAATATGAATTGTAACATGTTTATGATGCAAATGATTAGGCGAAAAATAAACGCGTGACTCGAGTTTGAACCAATCCACGATTATGCGAGACTCGAAACAGACACGACACAAAATGCAAGACACAAAATAATATTAAATGCAACAAACTGCAGGCAAAACAAGCGACAAGAAATTGTCAGGGAAATCACCAATTATTGAGACAGCAAAAACCTAGTACAAGCAACTACTGAACAGAGGTAAACCTGATTAAACCAGAGGCTCATGCTTGTGATCGTTTCTCGAAATTTGAATTATGCATGAATGAATAACATGATGAATGAAATCTTATGGGTCAAAAATAGGGTTATGACACTTTGCATGTTTAATGGATTTCATGTTGCATTCATTGTAGAATTTGTTTGCTTGTTTATGTGCATTTGCTAACCGTTTTGTTGACAGTTCTATGGTAATGAGCAAGCCCTCCAAGTTGCCAAGTGAGGGCTTCACTTTAATTGCTTTATAAGTGTGCATGTTGTTTGTAAATAAGTGTTGTGAATATTGTAAGCCTTGTAAATAAACCCATGTATGTAAACCCTTGTAAATAAAATTCCTTGTAAATAAAGAGTAAAACACCTAAAAAACACCATTGTAAATAAAGTTACTTTTGCACTTGTAAATCTTTGTAAATAAGCCCTAACGCGCTAATTAATTTTCCTACCCATTGCATGTAAATAAACCATTGTAAAATTCATTTTAGTAAAGGTTTAAACAAATAAAAATACATTAAAAAATACCTAACCAACTCTTTCTCTTGTTTTCTTACCTTTTTCCCACTTGGGATGGCTTGACCGTAGTTAATAGGTAACCTTTAAAAAACACTAAACACGTTAAAAACCCGTATGGAGAACTACGTGGATTTTGATCCCCCATTGCACTTGGGGTGGTACGTAGGCAAATGATGTCTACTCGAATCGTTCCAAATCCACTTAAAATATACAACCCCCGTTTCTTCATGTAAATAATTAACAAGCAATAATAATAACAAACAAAACAAGTGGTTCCCTTGGAATACCAAGGACACGAGGGGTGCCTAACACCTCCCCCTTGCGTAATCTGACAACTTACCTAGACTCTGTATTTGTGGTTTTCTCGTTATTTTCCCTCTCTTTCATTAGAGTAAATAAAAGACGGTGGCGACTCTTGCTTTATTTGGATCTTGGTCTTCGATACCTCGCATTCCGAAAATCGCTCTGCGACAGGTGGCGACTCTGCTGGGGAAAATGCTATGTGCTAACCCTAATAGCATTGTCAAAACCAAACTTGTTTTGCTTTGCTTGTTGCATTAGTATTATTATTATATTATTGCATCATGATATATTATTGTTTGCTTGTGTGGGGTGATACCTTGAGTGTTGAGACAAGTTAAACCCAAGCTTGAGTGAACTTTAAGATTGGGTGGCATATTCTATTAGAACATGGAATGTTGCTAGCATATCTTGGTTTTGATGATAACAAGAGTAAAATGAGGGGATCAAAGTTCCCAAAAGAATATGATACTCTGACTGCATGTTTAATGTCTTATGCAGATTCCAAAAGTCAGAAGATCAGTTAGAAGAAGAGTTTCTTCTGCTGATGCTGAAAGCAGCAACCTCTGTTGAGGATTACAGCAGGAAAGAAGAAAGCAAAAGCTGATGCTGCAACCTCTGTTGAGGAAATCACAACAAGAAACAAAGATCAAGTGCTGACGCTGGAAAGCTAACAGAATGAAGTGCTGATGATGTCTGCAACATCCTCTGTTGAGGAAACAGAAGCTCAGAAGAAAGAATTAACTGCTGAACTGTATCTCAGCAGAAAAGCTCAAATGCTGACTTATTCACTGTAAGTGTAATATAGTCTAATTTATTTATTCTTGTCTGACTATTGCATTTAATGCAGGCACACTGCTCAAGGCACATGGCAGCACGCCATTACCTAATATGTGTCAAGTCAATCTGACAAGGACAAAAAGCATAAAGCAGATGTACTATGTTAAGCAAAAGGCTACTTCAACGTCTATCTACTGCCAAAAGTCTGACCAGTGAAAGTGACAGCTTGTCCTTCCCAACGGTAACTTATTGGAGTATAAAATCCAAGCTTGAAGATTGAAGAAAGTTACACACTTTGAGAATAACATAAGAATTGATAATACAAAGCTGCTGGCAAGAAAATCTTTCAAGAACACTTCATCTGCTGATACTAGTTCTTTCCTATAATAGGCTTTTGTCTTAGGAAATCTGTTAGTTTACAAATCACTTTTGTGATCCTCTGTAAGCTCTTCAAATATATCTTATTTGATTGAAAGTTCCTTAGGAGATTCAGTTTGAATCAGTAGTCCTAAGAAGTCTAGGGTTGTGTACCTTAGAGGTTGATAGTTAGTCACACAGTTGGTGTGCAGGTTGTTAGTCACAGCAGTTGTTTGTGCAGGGTTAGTCACACAGTTGGTGTGCAGGTTGTTAGTCACAGCAGTTGTCTGTGCAGTGTTAGTCACACAGGTGTGTGCAGGTTGTTAGTCACAACAGGTGTTTGTGCATTCTGTAATCAGTTTGGTTATAGTGGATTAAGTCCTTTGTGTGATAAGGCAAATCATCCTAACGGGTGGACTGGAGGTAGTTGAAGTTTCAACGAACCAGGATAAAAATAACTGTGTTATTTATTTTTGTGTTAAGTTTTTAAACATACACTTATTCAACCCCCCCCCCCCCCCCCTTTCTAAGTGTTTTTCCACCTTCAATTGGTATCAGAGCACTAGTCTGAAGTGCATACACCCTAACAGGTGTTCAGTAAAGATCCAACCATGTATACAATATCCGCTGCTGAAAACACAAAATATAACACTCTGGATGTATTTGATACACCTCCTATATTTGATGGGAAAGACTTCAGCTATTGGAAGGATAGATTGGAGAGCTTCTGCTTGGGGTATGATGCTGACATATGGGATGTTATAACTGATGGTTATACACATCCAGTTGACAAATCTGGAAGCAGAATTGAAAGAAAAGCTATGGATGATCAACAAAAGATAAATCTTCAAAATCATCATAGAGCAAGAAACATGCTGCTGAGTGCTATATCCAGAATGGAATATGACAGCATGAGCATGTGCATCAAAGAGTCAGCACATGACATCTTTGAATTTCTAAGGAGAACTTATGAAGAAAAGGCTCCAACAAAAGAAGAAAACTCTGAAGAATATGACTCAGAGGATGA